GCATGAAGTCTTGTGTAGCAGATTTACCCACTGCAATGTATCATTTGACCTCTTGACAGCTGCTTCTGTGAGTATTGATTATGGATCCAAGCAGGACAACTGCAATCTTTTCTCCACTTCTCATGATGGTACCTACTGGTCCAGGTGTAAGGATTTGGGTTTTCTTTACATTGAGTTGTAATTCAAATCGAAGGCTGCAATACTTGATCTTCAGCACATGCTTCAAGTCCTCCTCACTTTCAGCAAGCAAGGTTGTATTATCTGTGTATTCTAGGTTTCCAACAAGCCGTCCTCCAATCCTGATGCAACATTCTTTATATAATCCAACTTCTCTGATTATATGCTCAGCATATAGAAAGAATAGGTATGGTGAAAGGATGCAACTCTGACGCACATCTTTCCTGATTTTTAACTATGTGGTATGACCTTGTTCTGTTCACATGACAGCTTCTTGAACCATGCACAAGTTCCCCAAAAACACAATGAAGTTTCCTGAAAATCCCATTCTTCTCAAGGCTATCCATACGTTGTTATTGTCCACAGTGTCAACAGTTCTGTGGAAACTCTCATTTCATTTTGGTTTAAATCTCCACTGTGGCAGTTAAGTTTTGTGTCAAATTCATGAGCCTGGGTTCTCAGTAGCAGCAATCCCACATGAAGAGATCTAACATAATGTAATCAATTCTTTGAGAAATCAGCAGTGGTGGTGGAGTGCAGCCCCCTTGATCAGATGACAGTCTGGATGCAATTGGAAGAAAGATTCCTCAGAGATATGCTCTACTTTTATTTTAAGCAGTCTCTGTGAGAAAGCTCGTCACTTATGCAAGGTCTGGATCCTTCCGCTAGTTCATTGACCCTCTGCCACATTGTCTACTGATCTCAGGAATCATCAGCAGACTGCCAAACTTGGGTTCATTTGACTTTACATCCAGCAGCCTATAGTCTTTCTGCTTCCTGGTTACTCAGTTTGTGGAGCTCCATGAGTCAGGAGAAGCCTCCACTTTAACATCTGACCCACAGGCTTGAATTAGACTATACACACCTGCTTCATTTATGTGAGCTATTTAAAAAAAACAAATTTTTAAAATTGGGATATACTTCATATATATCATACATTTCATATACTTATATCATACAATATATATAATTTTCAATATCACATATCATATACTTTAATAATTCTATCATATTAAGAAGATTTGTGTAATCATCATCACAGTCAATTTCAGAACAGTTTCTTCTCATACTCATTGTTATAAGCTACCCTCACTCTATCCTCCCCTGCCATACCTCTAAGCAATTATCAATGCAGTTACTGTCTGTAGAGATCTGCCTATCCTGGATTGCATATAAAGAAAATCACACAAAACACAAACAGGAAGTGTGTTAGTCCAGATTGACTAGAGAAACAAATCCAGGGTCACTTGTGTATGTATAAGATAGAGCTTTATATAAAGAAGTAACTGTATATAAGAAAACATCCCAGCACAGTCCAGATCAAGTCCATAAGTCTGATATTAGCCCATATGTCCGATAGCAGTCCATAAATTCCTCTTCAGACTCATGCAGCCATGCAATGATGCCAAATGCAGGAAGATCACAGGCCAGTGGGTGAAAAGTCTTGTGGATCCAGTGGTGGTGGAAACATCTCAGTGCATCAGCATAGCTCCATGTGGCTTGTCAGCAGGAGTGTGAAGCAGAGGAAGAGTGTGTCCCCCCACCCCAGGAGGAAGAAGTTCCCAGAATCTTCATGAAAAGACGATGCCCACAGGAGGGATTAATCAGGCTGTGACCTGATTGACAAGCTAGACTTCACCCATTCATTCTTTTATCAAGTTGACATAAAAGTGTGTAACTACCACAGGTAGCAAACAAACAAACAAACCCCCAACAATAATGACTTGACAAAACAAAAAAACCTGAATTGAAAACAGAAAATATTAAATTGAAACAACTTTAAAATGGGTCAAAAGAGGAACTAACTATATCTGCCAAAATCAGGGTTATTCACATCCCTTGACTATGGTCAGAGGGGATTCCCTGGAAGCTTAATCCATGTGGGATCCCTGCAAATGGACTTGGGTTTCCATTGTTATCCACAGCATCTACAAACCAAGTGTTCACAATGTAAGCTCTGCCCCCATTTCTCTCCTTTGGCTTTGGCCTTCATTAATGATAATTATATTTGTGAACCATTTTTAATAAACGTTTATTTCTATGTGCATACACATACAGTGTCATCAAAGAGATTTGCTTCTCCAGAGAGCCCAGCCTAACATATTTCACCAACGGGCTACGAATAAGGCTTGGAAGATGGGACATGACAGCTGACATCACATCAGAGACCTAAGTGCCATTGTGAAGGGCTCATTTCACTAGTCCAGCAACACACGTGTAGAGACTATCATAAAGAGATACAGGCCCACTGGCTCAAGGTTATGTCTGCAGGCAGTCAACAGTCACAGCAGGAGCTCTAGAAGCATTGTGGAGCTAGAAGGGAGAGCCCACTGACTAGCTCCACAGCATCTCTTCCTCACTCTCAATATCTCCAGCTCCCAGTTGAGCCTGATGTCCACCCGGAGGCTTTCTCAGCTCAGAACCTTTGTGCCCATGCAGGGAAGCACCTCACTCCTCCTCTCTTGTAGATACTAAATTTTTGAAACTCCCTGGGTACCCCTGGAACATTGAACAAAGATGGCTCAAACCCTGTAGCCTAGCATGCATTTTGGGGAGTAAAACTCCATGTTGAGCCACATAGGAAAGACCCTGACTACAAGTGGGAATAAAGTTGACAGCAAGGAGATTACTAATCTAATCGGAGCATGTCCAGTCTGTTCCTCTCAGACACAACCGATCCAGACCTGGTAGTCCATGGACATGGAGAAAGCAGCACCAACCTGTCACTTCCAAGGTTACCATGGGGCAAGCACTAAAAGTGGGGCATGTCCTCTGGACCCTAAGACCTCGGCCCAGTGAACTTCTTTGAACCAGAAGGCAGCGTTACCACTCCCGGAGCCGGAGCCGCAGAGCCAGGTGCCAGAGCAGGAGACAGGGAGCAGTGGACTTCTCAGCCCACTGAGCAAGTCAAGCAGACTGCTTTTGGCAAGAGGCTCGCTTGTGGGGTGGAGTGCCTCTGGGCACTGAATTCAAGGGACTGCATGTTTGGGCTCCATGTTTGGGCTGACATCAATGCGGCATGTTCTTCAGGCATTTATTAGCAGCCTTAAAAGAACTGTGTAACATGTTCTTACTGAACAACTCTAACCTGAGTGTTTCCACCTGGATTTTAACCTGTTAACTTCCACAACAAACCCCATAACCAGGGCACTGTATGTGAGTTCTGTGCGGCCAGTGCACCGAACACAGGCCCTGCAGGCAAAGGAAAGGCTGCTGTGGGAGACGTGCAATAAACGTAGAGAGTGCTGTCTGATAGAGAACCTCATTGAAGTAAAACAGAGTCGAGCGGTCCAGGAGTGCTCACCTGGTGTTGACCACTGCTTCGATGGCCCTTGGCCTAGTGCTAGTATTTTCATGTAAAGGAAAGGAAATTGTATTTTCAATCTAAGTAAGATGGGGAAGAGGGAGCTCTGTGGTCACGCAGAGAATGCATTCTGGAGCTAGCCTCCAGGCTGGCTACTCTGCATGGACACTGACCCTCTGTGTCTAAGTGGTCCGTATTGTACTGCCATTCAAAGCACAGGAAAGCCCATCAATACGGCAGTCGTCGTCGTCGTCATCATCATCATCATCATCATCATCATCATCATCATCATCATACATGATACTAAGAGCTCTTGTAATCTCAAATAACTGATGTTTGCTGAGCCTCCATGATCTACACCTTTAAAGTGACTTTGTTTTTCCCTTTCACGATGGCTTCTATGGGTTTTATAAGAGAATAAAGAACTCAAGGTCGACTCACACAGGTGACCTTCCGGTAGATCTGGGCCGCGTTCTGACACTCCGAGTAGGGGTACTCTGAGGTGGCCATCTCCAGCATGCACATCCCGAAGGCATAGACATCCACAGACTCGTCGTAGTGCTCCTCGTACATCTCAGGCGCCATGAACTCGGGGGTACCTGTACCCAGGAACAGCAGATGGAGTAGTCAGCCACTGTGGGGCCAGGAACACCACGACCCCATACCTGCCATCAACCCTTCCCATCGTGGACTAAACTGCCCATCTCCCGGGGTGGGGATGGGGAGGAGAGGTCAGCCCTCACTGAGTGCCCACTTGGGTTTGGCTAGAGGTATCAACGAGATGACTGCTCCATCCCCAAGGTCATCTGATATGTCCTAGAATCCAGAATGCAAACAGATATGCTCTACAAACAGATGGGCCCTGAAGTTTTACTGGAACATGAATCCAAGGCTGAATGCATTTTTAGGGGCTGAGCTCATAATGCCACCCCCTGTCCACAAGTCCTGGGAGACCACCACTTCCAAGGAACGCTGGCCCAGAAACAGGGGTCTCATTAAGGGGGCACACCCCTGGAATAGTCCCCTTCATCTTCCTATGTGCTTTCCTCCTAAAGACTGGTCCAACATTGATCTGTACCTGAATAATCCTGGGTGAATAAAACCTCAGTACTAGTTATGGAGCTATAGACAGTATGACCCTAAAGGTCCACTAACTGAGGAGCAGCTAGGGGCACTGTGACACAGCTCCAGGACAAAGCATTCCACGGTCGCCCCTGAGACAGAGAGAAAGACAGCGCTGCACCTTCACCCTCCAGCATCAGAGACGTGGTAAAAGGAGACTGTGTGCTTGTGGCTGCCAGCTCACTACTCTCGTGTTGCCCAACCAACCACAAAAGCAGACTCACTGCTCATGAGTTGGGGTCTACGGGTAGGACTGCCCTTGTGAGTTTCTGAGCCTGTCCCTCTTTACAGCAGTAGAAAAGCCCCCGCCTTTCTTCCACGGAGCAGTGGCTTCAAGCGGCTGACCTTGCAGTGAGCGGCACCAACCTGTCACTACTGCACCCTCACCCGGCCAGTCCTAAATGTAGTACTCATGCCTCGTTGTGGGCTGCATCTGCTGTCCCCATTTGACGGGTGCACGGCCACCCCAATTGTGCTTCATGCCCAGCAAACTCCCCTAACCCCTTTCCAAAGTTACAAGGAGGGTGTGTGTTGTAGACCCCGCAGGCATGTATGCCTGTAAAATCTAAGGCACAGCAGCTAGTTTGGGTTGCCAAGGGCCAAGGCCAGCCTCCTCAGCTGCCAACCCCAACCTTCCTCCACCATTATCTTCTGGATAAATGACATCTGAAGAACAGATCTGTGCGTGCGACATCATGCCGAGTACCTCGAGCCATGGCAGGGACGCAGAAGACACTAGCAGCAGCCAGGCAGTGAAGCTGGCTGTGCCTGCGTGCTCCCTAATATATCACTCTCATTCTGACAGGCTCCTCCTCCCTGGTGAGGTTCCAGGGAGGACAATTGCCCTTAGTCAGAGCCATGAGGGCCTCTTGTGCTGTTCTCAAGACAGAACAAAACCCAGCAGAGGCTTTTCAGAATTTTCTCAAGCCCTGGGCACACAACAAGAGCCCCCACTGACAAGGCACTGCAAAGTGGGTCACAGCTAAAGTGCTAGCAAAAAAGCTTGGACACTGGGCCAGAAATGAGATCATGCACCTACTGCTTTCTCCCCACTCACCCCATGAGGGACTCACAGGGGAGGCTCCTCTTCCTGAGAGGCAGGTTGAGGAAGAGAGGAGGCAGATGCTTAAGGCTGGCCCCTAGAGCCTTGAAGGGTGTTTCACCCATTTTGCCATTAAGACAAGCAGCTATCTGGGTGATTTGTGCTAATGCCATTAACAGACTGAGGAGGGATTTCCCCCATCAGAAGGCATGGATGGGCACCCTCACCTGTAGGCCTTCCACTCAGTGCTATTTGCCTGCTCACTGCCTGGAACCTGAGAAGATTCATGCACATTCCCACAAGAACAGCTGAAGATGTGAGCTCCCTGGTCCCAGTGTTTCTTATTGGGCTTTACCTAGGCTCACAGGGATGCACCCTGTCTTTACCGGGTACAGTCAGCCTGGCTCAAAGCATTCACAGCACACCTCCTGGCCCTGTAATTCCAGAGAAGGGACTTCATGGTGAGAGCAAGCCCAGAAGCGTCTATGAGATGTCTCACCAGGTTTTAGTGAGTGAGCTTAGTCGGAGGCAGGTGGTTTGTAAACGGCCCTCCTCTCACGCAGCTAATCCAGTGTCTGAAGCCCTGAATGCTTCCTGGGGTCAAACAGTCAAACTCTTCCCTAGGAACTATCAAGGATGTGGAATCCCAAGGTGCAGGGGCCACCAAGTGGGCCCTGTTCTTAGCCTTCCTCCCATGGAGTGCACGATGATCTCCCTGCTCTGCTTGTGCTCCTCGGTGCTCCCACCAGGGCCTCACTAACACAAGCTCTTCCCGGGTAGCTGCTCACACAACACTGTACTCCCCGACCGCTAGGATTCTACAGTCCAGAAGGCCCCAACTCACATCCCCTCCAAGTACTCTCATTGCAAAATGTTCTCTTCGTTCCCTCCATCCTGGGGTGAAGGTGGACAGACACTCCGTGCCTGCTTGGGGCTGAGTACACTCTGGTGAGACAGAGATATCCCCCTGCAGCAGCCAAGGGACCACCCTCCAAAATGGCTGTGGCAGCAGAGGAGGAGAGCTTCTCTGAGAAGGGACTGTGCACTAACTACTGAAAGATGACAGAACAGACACCACCCGCCCTCTCAGAATGCCGGCAGGCCTTTCACCTGTACCCACCTTCCCACCCGTCTCCACCGTCCCTCTACCCCTCATATAGTTACACTTCATCTCCAAATGCTCCATGATCTCCCATCGCCAGCCCAGTAAGACCAGCCCAGTATCATCCTACAAGGCCTTCCTGGGCCCAGGTCTGGGTCTTCTCCACTCTCGGAGCCCATACGGAAAGGGCCTTTGGTTGGGTTTCCCCTTGCCTAAACCATCAGCCAGGGGACCAGTGACAAAGAGGGCTCAAGTCAGACAAGGCGATGCAGAGATCCAGGTGGGAGACTAGGCACAGTCATCTCGTTCTCTAGCAGAGAGCTGCCACGAGGATGGGTAGATTCCCCAAAGATGGGCAGCGAGAGGGATGGAGCTCAGCATAGTAACCCCCAAATGAGGCCAACCCTGGCAAGCAAGCTCAACGCTGGCCTTCCCGAGCCCACCTGCTTCTAGGCTCCCAGGCCTCAGAGAAGGGACAAGTGGGCATACCTATCACACTTTTGGCAAATGAAGCTCTTTTGAGGGTAGCCAGGCCCAAGTCGCCGATCTTCACAGACCCGGTAGGTCCAGTGATAAAAATATTGTCACATTTCAGATCTCGGTGGATAATGGGTGGCGTCCTCGTGTGCAAAAACAGCAAGCCTTTCAGGATCTGCCGGCACCAGCTGCGGAGAACTTTGGGCTTCATCACCTTGAACCGTTTCAGGTACCTGGAGAAAAGGCAAAGTACACTCACCAAGCATCGGGACAAAGCGTCCTCTGCAAGGCTCCACTGAAGATGGGGTGGGCTGGGGCCCTCCCTTGACACCCTCCATGTGTGCAGGTGGAGATGGCTTGCGAATGCCATCAGATAGGAGCATCTTAGCAGTGCTGCCCAGAGCAGGCAGCCAGGCCAGCCGGGAAGAGCTGTGTCCCAGCCCAGGCCCATGCACTAGCTTCCCCTCCACTGGGAGTACTGCTAAACTGCACCCAGTCACAACACTGCTATCATGAGGACAGGGTGCTGCTGGTGCTCGCAATTGTTGGCTGAAACAGGATGGAGTTCTTGGGACGCCTCAGAGCCTGGAAGGGCTGGGTTTGGAGGGGACAACATGGCACCTGAAGCCCTAAAGTTCAGACCCCATATCTGAGTGGGTAGGTCTGCTAAGCCCCTAGGAGAAAGCTGTGGGTGAAAGTGGAAGACGATCCCCACAATGAGGTCGCATTGGTTTACCTATTGCTGGAGCATTTCCAATGGACACAAGCTGCAACTATTGAGAGGGGACGTTGTTCCCCTTCCCATGTGTACAAGCCAGGCTCTTTAGTAGAGTGATGGCCTACCAGGAACACCCTTCCTGTGCGGACTCCCTCCCCTGGAATCTGACTACCCATTCAGTCTAGCCCATGAGGAGAGGGCCAGGTTAGTGAACTCCACCATCCCACCTGACAGTAGTCCACTTCTCATGCCACGGGAGTGTGTGGAGTGGACTAGGGCCCAGGCTAATGCTAAAGCTCAGCAGCAACCAGGCACCAGGAACAACAAGCAAATACACTCCATAGGAAGTAAATAATCCCAGTAATTTGCATCCCTGCTGTCCCATGAAGAATCAAACACATGAAACCGTCTATGGGGCTGGGGGCACAAGATTTCCTCTATGTGTCTGATGAACAGAGCCAGTAGAAGCTCAATGCTAAGAGGCAACTGCTATTTGCTTTGATAAGATTCTATTCCTTCGTGGGGTCTTCCTATTGTTGAGAGGATCTTTCCTATAAGGTACCAGGCTAATGGGGACATTCTAGAGGAGTATGAGCCCTAGACATTTTCCCAGGCCATACAGCCACCCCTCACTCCCACACCACAAGCCTAGCAAGTAGGGTGGCACACGTACGTCTTCAGCGTCCCCGAAGTCATCAGCTCTGTCACCAACACGATGCAGCGCTTGCCTTTAGCGCTGGACTCCCAGAAGTCATAGAACCGCACGATGTTGGGGTGCTGCAGGCCTTTCAGCATCTCGGCCTCCTCCTTAAATCGCTGCCGCTCCAGCTTGGTAAGCTTCCGGTCCTGCAAGGGAGGACACAGGCACTGTGAGTAGGTGGCAACTGTGCAGCCCAGATGCCACAAAAACCTTTTTATCCAAAAGTTGGGAGAAAAGCGAGGAAGGGGCTGGTTCTGCTAGTGTTTTAGAGCCTGCAGCAGGCTGCTTTCTCAGACACTTACAGTGCCCAGTAGAAAATAACCAGGCTTTAAGAAGAGAACTTGTGAAGTCTGACCCAGTTTCAGAGCTTCAAAGGTAGCCTCATGTCCCCAAAGCACAGCCCGCCCTGAGCTTTTCTGCCACCAAATTTCAATAGAAAGTTTTGGGGGGAATGTTCTAAATCCAGAAGGCCATGTAACAAATGAGAGGGAGCCCTAAACACAGACAGCTTGAATTTAGCCCCACACAGCTGCTGCTCTGTACACGAAAGAGGCTGTGTAACTGGCTCCCCAAGGTCTGCGGTACTCAGCCCTGTAAGGTGCCATCGGAGCCTAGTCTGGCCTCCACCACTCAGGAGCCGGCACCAGGAGCACTGCAAGAGAAATTTCTGGGAAGCAAGATGGCTCACCAACTCAAGATTCACGCACATTTTCAATCCACCACCAGTCTGTCACTTTGTTTGTACCATAATGGCTTGCACAGTGCTGGGATGCTAGAAGCTCTGGCACTAAAATTTCAAATACCAGCAAGGTCACTTTCCAAACTAAGGCAAGACTAGCAAGGAAGGATTCAACTTCAAAAATTAGCCAGTGAAAACCATACGCGCCACAACCAAACACTGTTCAGCACAGAGCTGGAAGATGAGGCCCTAATGTTGGAAGATGTGTTAGGCTGGGTTGACTAGAGAAACAAAACCACAGACACTCATATATGTGTAAGAGAGAGTTTTATATCAAGAAGTAGTTATGTATCATGAAAACATCTCAACCCCTCCAGATCAAGTCCATAAATCTGATACATCTATAAACCCCTCTCCAGACTCATGCAGCCACAAGCAGTGATACAGAATGCAGGAAGATCACGGTCCATGAGAGCCAAAACACTAGGTTAGGTTGATGGGATGCCAATGGAAATATTTCCACGAGTTGATAAAGTACTGCAGGCACTCACTCATCGATGTCAGGAAATTTAGAAACTTGGCCAACGGAGTGCACAAGATCCATATTTACAACCATTGCAAAAAAGGTGAACTAACAGAATGCTCAAATTATAGAGAAATATCACACGCAAGTAAAATTTTTCCAACGATCACACAAGAGTTACATTGACAAGGGGCTGCCAGAGTTTGGGGCTGCATTCTAAAGTGGACATAGAACAAAGGATGTAATTTCTGCTGTCAGATGGATCTTGGCTGAAAGCAGAGAATACCAGAAAGATGTTTGCTTGTGTTTTATTGACTGTACTAAGGCATTTGACTGTGTGGACCATAAAAAACTATGGCTAACCTTGAGAAGGATGCAAATTCCAAAACTCTACATTGTGCTCGTGTGGAACCTGTATATGGATCAAGAATCAGTTACGTGACTAGAACAAGGGAATACTGCATGGTTTAGAATCAGGAAAGACGTACATCAGTTAGATCCTCTTACTACATCTATTCAATCTGTATGCTACGCAAGTAAACAAAGAAACTGAGTTATATGAAGAAGGATGCACCATCAGGCTTGGAGAAAGGCTTATTATCAACCTGTGATGCTCAGATGAAGGCACCTGGCTTGCTGAAAGTGAGGAGGATGCGAAGCATTTGCTAATGAAGCTCAAGGATTGCAGCCTTCAGTAAGGACTACAACGCAATGCCAAAGAAAACCAAAACCCTCAAAATCAGGAGATAATGTCATGATCAGTTTTTAAAAGGTTCACATTTTCAAGGACTTTGTCTTGCTTAGATCCACAATACATATTCATGGAAGCAGCAGTCAAGTGATCAGGCGACACATTGCATTGGCAAATCTGCTGCACAAGACCCCTTTAAGGTGTGAAAAACAAGGATGTTACATTGAGGACGAAGGTGCGCCTGACCCTAGTCATGGTATTTTCAATTGCCTCAAATGCATGTGAAAATTGGACACTGAGTAAGGAAGACAAAAGAAGCATCAATGCATTTGAATTCTGGTGCTGGGGAAGAATACTGGAAGTATCCTGAAGTACCAAAAGGACAAATAGGTCTGTCTTAGAAGAAGTACAGCCAGAGTGCTCCTTAGAGGCAAGGGTGGAGAGACTCTGTCTCACTTACTTTGAACACATTGTCAGGACAGCCAGGCCCTGGAGGAGAATGTCGTGCTTGGCAAGGTAGAAGGGCAGCAAACGAGAGGAAGGCCTTGGGCAAGATTGACTGATCCAGTGGCTGCCTCAATGGGCTTGACATAAAAACAATGGAGGGGATGGCGCAGGACAGCCAGGGTTTCTTTCTTTTGTACGTACGGTCACTATGAGTTGGAACCACCTGGATGACCCCTCACAACAACACACTGTCCAGCCCCATGGATGTCGACTTGAATCCGGTGCGCTACATCTAGTGAGGCCCACTGGTATAGAGATTAGCTAAAAGTATAGTTGGAAAAAAAAGGTATTCTCAGTGAAGAAGCCATTGGTCTTACACATTTCTTACAGAGAATGTCATTTTGATCTCCAGCTCTTGATCATACCCCTTTGTGTCCACCCTTTCCAGTCACCAGTAATTATGAATGCTTCTTGATTGCTTGTGTGGTTAATTTCAGACTGAAGAATTTGGCAATATTCTTCAATTTCTTCATCACTGGCTTTAGTGGTTGGCATATGTTTGAGTAACAGTTGTATTACCTGGTTTTTCTTGTATGCACATAGATACTATCCTATCAGCATTATATCTCAAAACAGATCCTAAATATTCTTTTTGAGACGAATATGATACCATTGATCTTGAATTTGTCATTCCTAGCATATTAAACCTTGATTGTCTGATTCAAAAAGCCAAAACAATTCTTTTCAGTCCTCTTTTACCTCGGATATTAGTGTCTATGGGTTCCATTGCATTTTTGACAACTTTTAATTTTGCTAGATTTGTCCTTTGCACATTCCAAATTCGGATTGTTAGTAGGAATTTTCAGCTGCTGCTTATTATCTGGAGTTGAGTCCCCTCCCAAATGAAGGTCGTGAAAGCTTGGCTACTTCTGTATCATTAAAGTTGACTCTACTTTAGGAAGCGGCTCTTCTCTAATCATATTTTGAGTGCTTCCAACTGGAGGAGCTCATCTTCCTGCACTCTCTCAGACAAAGCCCTGCCGCTATTCATAAGGCTTTCAGTGGGGAATTTTCCTGAAGTCAAATGCCTCTCCTTATTCCTTAATTGTCCTTAGTCTGGAAGCTCTAAGGAACCCCTGCTGATATTTGAAATACTGTTGGTATAGTTTCTAGTATCATGTTGCAAGCATCACGGTATGACACCCTGATAGACAAGTGGGGAACGAAGCTTGTAAGTACCAAAAATGCATTTAATCTACATAATAAAGTGGAAGCTGTGCGTTCACCCCAAATGATGGCTTATTTTAGAAAAGTCAAACCATGGATTTATATATGAACTCACGTACACCAAGAAATCCTGTGGCTAAATAATAAAAAGACGGGGTAAACCCTAGTGTGAGCTGTGGACTCTTGCTAAACATGACTCCTCTGCCCTTTTAAAGAGATGCTATGGTTATTCGCAAAGGAAAGAAGGGTTTTCTCTGCATGCTCAGTTCTCCACACATTTAGACTACCCTTCAGAGCTTGAATTTGTTGCAACTGTTGTTGGGATTCCTTTATAGCTTTGCTAAAACTCCTACAGAATTGCATAGAACGTGTGTGCTTATCCCAACCTGGTTTTTGTTTTCATTTCAACCACAAGGTTGATTAACTAGATGTTGGACCCAAACCTCCTCTCTTTGTAATCTAGTCCCAAGCCCTGTTTGTCAGCTAATTTAGGGAAAGGGTATGTACTACAACTTAAGAGATTTCTTAAGGCTGAGATTGGATGCTTCCCAAGAAATACTTTAGCTATCAGTCTTCTGTCAGACCCTTCCTTATTCGAGAATGTTGATAGGCTTACTAATTAGCATTAAATAAATAATAAATTATGTAAGGCATCGTTTTATGGTCTATATAACATGTAATTTAACAATTTAAACGAATAGGATTATGATAAAAGATGTTAAGCATGTGTACTTTATAGCTAAATAAAACCCAAATGCAAGATCTAAAAAAATGATGCCTCAGTATTAATTCATCAATTGCACCAAATGTTCAATAGAAAATGCAAGATGTTAGTAATAGAAGGGATTGTGAGACTGGGGATATAAGAACTCTCTGTACTTTCTGCCCAATTCTCCTGTAAACCTGAATGTGCGCTAAAAAATAAATTCTATTAATTTTGAAAATAACAAAAGTACGTAAATACGAAAATGATCGAAGCAGAACAAAGCAGACATGAACTGACGCTTCACAAAGGAAGACCCAAGAATGGCCCCAAAGAGAAGGTGCTCGGCATCATTCAGCATCAAACCAATGCACGTGAAGCAAGGCCCGGCCACGGCCTGCTGCTACCAGTGGCGATGGAGCCATTCCTGCCCCTGGTGTCGCTGTGCTCCACAGGGGTTCCAAGAGCTGACTTTTCAGAAGTAGATCCCCAGGCCTTTCATCTGAGCTGTGTCTGGATGGCCTTGAACCTCTAACCTTTGGGTTAGCAACAAGTGTGTTAACCATTTGCACCATCCAGCCATTCCTCACACCTCACACCTCACAGAAGGATTAAACTAAAACAACTGGTGACATTACCTGTTGGTGAAGAGGCAGAGAGACTACAACTTTCCCTACATTGCTGGGAGGAGTGGCAATTGTGCAATCACTTTGGAAAAGAACTTGGCAGTTTTCTCTGTGACCCACCAACTCCACTGCTAGGTAGTTACCACTCTAGCAATGAACACATAGATCCACAGAAGATGTACACACACATTTTCATAGCAGTTTTAGTCATAATAGCCCCCAAGTGGGAACAGTTCGAATATCGGTCATC